TTTTATCGTTTTCCCTGATTAGTGGATCTCTGTAATTAACAGGTTATAAGGTTTGGGCTATTCAACGATCTCAAAGGACCACCTTTAGATTTTCGTATCATTAAGGTCCCCTGGTGGAGCAACTGTAAGCTTGGGGACCTATTATGGCTAAAAATCGGGGTTCGATCCCTACATTAGATACGGCACAAATCAATGTCGACCCCTGGTGGCTCAACGGTAAACTTGAGAGCTAATTACGCTAAAATCTGGGTTTGATTCCTGCGGTGGCTAATGCACTGATAGCCCACTGCACTAAACAACAAACAAACATATTAACCCACGACACAGAATAAACCCCTCCATGTCTATTCTTGTCAACTTTGAACCGCTGATAAAACTAATCTGTCACCCACAAGCGACAAGTGCTGTTCGGAATGTTAAAAATCATTTATGTTAGCACTTAAAATAACTGTACTTAATTTTGTTCAAACAAAAACGAGCTTAACGTACGTTGTCAACTACGTGTAGACTTACGCGTAGGCGCAAAATGCAGATGGTTAAGCACGTTGTGTTGAATGTGAAAATCAGTAAGCCACGCGACAGACACGGCCGATACGAAGTCGTGGTGGAACGGTATGTATCAGAACTACATGTTGACATTGTTTAACATTTTGTAGATAGTGTGATACCACCGAAAACTGACCGCTTATGGGAAAGGTAATTAACTTGTGTAACAGTACTTTGTGACGCAAAATATTCGTACACTCAGATCTGTTGTCGTAAGATCGTTGAACTTGGGCACAAACCGCGACGACGTGGTGAGGCTCCAAAATCGTTTCAATACGAGGTTTTCAACTTCTCTATGGACGGTATTTATACCCATGAAACACATAAATACTCACTTGTTTAAGTTGATTGGTTCGTGATTATTTTTTGTCGGTAACAGTGGGACAGAGACGTTATTATGACTTTTCTACCCAGAACTGAGGGTTTGGGCAAAGTACGTTGAAAAGATTTACTGTGGTGAACATAAGTGTTAAATCTGGCTGGTACTCAAAGAGCCTCTCATCGTGCAGTTGGTG